TCACAATCCTCTCCAGGGTGCGGTTATCTCTCTTGCTTGTACACTTTTTTCGACCACATCTTTTCCTTCCCTTCGCCTCTCTATTAATGTGCTTGGACACTGAGCTCTGTGAACAGCCAGCCTCTTTAGCGATGACCTTTTGTGTCTTGCCCTCCTTGTGCAAGGTGTCGATGGTCGTCTTTTGGACAACTGTCAAGTCAGCAGTCTTCCCCATGATTGTGTAGCCTATAGAACTAGACTGAAAGACCATTTAAAGGCTTTTGCAGGTGGTTTGAGTTAATTAGCTGATAAGAGTGTGGCACCAGGGGCCATCAATTTTGAACCTTTTCACAATATTCTAATTTTCTGATATGATGAATTTGAGATTTTCATTTGTTGTCATTTGTAATCATCAAAATTAAACAAAATAAACATCTGAAATATATGAGTTTGTATGTAATGTATGAATATAATATACAAGTTTCACTTTTTAAATGGAATTACTGAAATCAATCTACTTTTTCATGATATTCTAATTTTATGACCAGCACCTGTATATATATTTTTTTATTTATCCATATTTTTTCCTAAGTGTATATATTAGTATATTTTTTGCATGCCTTATATCCCAGTGTTTTTAGAGATTTTTATAATTTTATTTACTATTTCATATATGTTTCATGTTGCACGATTGTACCATAAAAAATTCCTAGTTGTGAACTCCTTCACTAACAATGGCAATAAACCCGATTCTGATTCTGATTCTGATTGCAGATTATATAATCTTGCAGAATGTTAATTTCTAAGGGTTTTATTTTTACTTCTTTATTTAAAGATATATATTTTTGACTTTATTTTAAAGAGAGGATGAAAAAATTTAAAGTTTACAAATTGCATTTGTATCAAACTGCATTTCAAAGATCACATTCTCTTCACTTCTCTAAATATTTCTTTTCTGAGAAATTTGAAAAATTTTTTTGTAAAAATCAAAAGTTGCAAAAATGAAATAAAAGCTGAGAAAACAGCTAAAGTTCCCCTCAAAACATTTTCATGAGTCAAATGTTTTTAAATGTTATTTCAGGATGGACTGTTTTTTCTCTTTTATTGACAAAACATGTTCTTTGTTTGCAACAATAATGGAAGAAGATTCACTCCCTTTCTTCAAACCCTCATCTGTTTCCTCTCTTCTCTTATAAAGTCGCTGTTCTTCTTAGACAGAGGATTTAACACGTGGAGCTGCTGGAAAAGAAGAAGAAATAAAATTAGCTGATGTTCAGATGAAAAGAAAAGAAGTCACTCTGACCTTCAGCTGTTCACTCAGTGGGAATCCAACAGTCTTATATCACCAAACCCAAACATACCACAGTTCCTTTTTCAATGTTGATAAATTATATTTGCTCCAATCTTTGTCTGCATGGAGGGCAAAAAATAAAATATTCTCACACAGAAAGCTGTGCTTGGCTAGAAGCCAGTCAGTCAGTCAATCCTGGAATAAAATTACTACCTGCTGTGTGTCACAGCCAGGTCATCCACTGTGTCCATTCCTTAGTGGTGTCATGTTTTATGAGGTAATGGCAGGATGAAAAAAAGCAGACTAATGCTTTCATGTAGCACATTGAATTTAAAGAGATGTAATAATTAATTTAAAAAAATTCTCGGGAGAGAAAGGACACAGTAGGAATAGAGCTGTTGTATTTCATCATAACAGACTGCCACTGTGGGTCTCTGAGCACAAACGTTAAAGTTATAGGGAAATCATTTTTAAATTTTAAATCATTCTGGCTTAAACATGTATATAAATGTACTCTTTATCAGACCATATTGTCCCAAAAGTTAGAAAATTTCTATTTTAAAAATAATCCTGTCTTAAAATAATTTGGCATTTTTTTCCCCATTATCTTCTGCAGGCCAGTTAGTTATACGTCAACCTGAACACCTAAATTCGGCCAATCACATATCAAAGATCATCTGTCAATCACATTTTTTCGGTCATAGCATCTTGATTCATATGTCGCAGCTAATATACGCAATGGTTGAAATAAGAAACCAGAATCATTTCCTTTCCCAATGAGTTCCATCCCTCTGTTCACGGGGATGGACGTCTGTGTCTTCGGCAGGTGTAGAGCTAACAGAACTGGCAGCAGAACTGGAAGGGCTCAAACATGTACGGCTGGAAGCTGTCTGTAAGACTCATCCACGACCTCCGACACTAAACTCTCCTCCTCTTGCATGTTTCCTCTGTCCGTAGCGTTCCTTGACAGTGTCGTTTCTAAGTCATCAATTTAGTGCTACTTGGTCCCAATGGAATTTCCCATTGGGAACCTACTGCACTAAGTTGCTAACTGGTTAGCAAGATGCTTCCGACAAACCGGCCACAATCAAACTTGGTTGCAAACCTTCCGCCACAACAATCCCACCTTCTTGATAATCGACCAATCACATTCACTTTATTCACTCGTGTAAAGTCGTGCACCACTCTGGAAATGCGTCCGTTGGAACAGTTTCCCTACGACTTCCACCTCCGATTGCTCCCTGGGTGCTGCACCATGGCAGCCCACTGCTCCCCAAGGGGATGGGTTAAATGCAGAGGTAAACTTCTCCAATGTGAGGTCAATAAAGTTTTAATTATTATTATTATTAACAGGATTATTTGAGGATAAAGACCGGGGTGGAAAGGATTTCCAAAAGTTAAGGAAATGTCCCTGACAGGATTTTAAAAATGTTTCTGATCAATAAAGTTATTCATTTTCGAAAGTGGAAAATCATCTAGTTCCCTTCAAAGTGACCAAAGTCTTTATGTTTTGCTTTAGCAGAAAAGATGCAAAAGGAAATTCAGTTTGAGGATGAAGGAGAAGCAAAGTCATTGTGAAGCATTACGTCATCTTCGGCCTCCAACTGTTTGCACTTTTCTGGTGTAATAAAACGTAATAAAACCGTTGTTTTATTGGATCCATTCCTGCAGCGGCTCAAACAATCAGCACACCCAGCAGGTCCTGACCGTTTTTAAATCTAAACACTGCATGAAGCCTTTCCTGAACTTCATCCCTGAGGGGAGTCTGTGCTCCAATATACATCGCAAAACAGCTGGAGTGAAAAGTTAAAAAACTGCATTTAGATGGTTTATGAAGGACTAGTGAGTATTTGTAAAGGTTAACAGACATCCTTTTTTTTCTATATTTTCCATTTGCATATGAAAAACCGTGCATTTTTCCATCCTCCTCACAAGTTTACAATATTTTCTGTAAATTTTGTTTTGCTTTTTTTGTTTTTGTGTCTTGTATTTTTTATTTGTTTTTGCACAGCAGCTTAATAGTTAAAATGATATAAACTTTAACCCATATCTATACAGTTTATGCCAATAATCTCTCGGTGCAGAATCAGCTTTACTCTTTCAGTTTTGTACTTAATAGAAATTTGGCATCAGGTATCATCCAGACGTTTTAAACAGGAATATATCAAAAATAATTTAGCAGAAAATACATGTTTAAAGGCATCAACAAATGTCTCTGATTAGTGTGTGGGAAATGGTTCCATTATATTTCATCTCGGTGAAAGGGATTTACAGCCACATGCATCACGTAAATCACTAATCTAAATTAATCCTCTATAATAGTGGCTAAAATGCCAGAAGTTTCTGGAAATTCCCCACATTTTTTGTCTTGCTACCTCGAATTCACATGGAAAACTTTATGTTTTAAAAATATTATAATAGTTTAATACAGTGGCGGTTCAAGACCAAATGTACCCAGGAGCCAGGAGGGGACCAGTGTGTTTTCATGGGGGGACAGAAAAGCATGAAATAAAAAACAGTGCAAGGGATTCAAATATATTAAAAGAGCTGCATGAAGTGACATTTCTATTTAATTAGGTTTAATTAAAATTCCATGCCTTATTAGGTCAATATACATTCATAATTTAGGAATTTAACATATTTTTGACATAATTTAAATTAAAATATATTTTTAATATAAAATTTTAATTAGAACTCAAGAAAAACTGATAAATTCAGCTCTAAAAAATAGAATACTTTGTTTAAAAAAATACATTTAGCAGATGAAAACTGGGATCCTATCTCAATATCACTAAAGCTATCACCTTATCACATTTAAGCAATTATTTTCACATCATGTGCGCCATCCAATGCAGATCATTGGCTCCATCCACACCTAGTGAAAACTAGTGTAATTGAATGAGTCATATAACGCAAACACTCATTGGTTAGCTAAAGGAAATCATCAGAAACAAGCAGGTGTTTTTCAAACAGTGAACGTGAATTGTCTATGCCATGCTACAATGTCGAATTCAGAAAAAGATGTTGAAATTTCTGAAAGGTCGGATACAGTCAAGAGCATATCGGGAGATATAATTGGCCTTATCTCGAAGAATAAAATATAATAAAAAAAAATAGTCGAAAATTTGAGCTTTAAATTCATATAGTGACATATGGCTGTTTTTTTTTTTAAAAGGTTACTTTATACTTTTATACTTTAAGTAGTTTGTGGAGCACATACTTTTTCACTTTTACTTGAGTAAAGGTGTCAAGTTGATACTTGAACTTTTACCAGATTGTTTTTAAACTGCAGTATCTATACTTCTACTCAAGTAACAGATGTGTGTACTTTTGACACCACTGGCGCATACCATCATTAGAATTTCTCTGAGTATTATGTCTTCAGTACAGGGGCCATAATAGGGGCCAGGACTTGATCTACAGGGGCACTGGCCCCCATTTTTAAATATATAGTTGTTTTTGTTGTTTTGTGTCTTTTTAGGATCAGCCGCTCATCCAACGCGCGTGTGTTCTGGTGACGCAAGACCAGACTTTTCTAAATCGTCAGGGTAAAATGACGGCCTTTGTTTTTTATATAGCAATTAATTGGTGGCTATTAATTATTAATAGCTATTGTAATATCTTCTTTAAGAAGTGATAAATATCGTTACTTTGGTAAATGACGTTAGAATGTATTTGATTGAAGCTTTGAATGACTGTCCTCCCCCCTCTCACCGAGTAATGGTTCGTTCCGCTAAAACTGCTTCAGGGGTTCTTCCCTGGATTGACCGTGACGCTCTATCGGTTCAGGATCCCTCTGAGGCACAGATCACAGCTGAGGCGTCCATAGAGAACGGCTGTCCCACAGGAGTCACTGGGATAAATGTAAGTTCATCAAACATGGCGTGTTTAATGCTAAGATGTAAAATAATTTCTCCCCTAAACTCTTTCCCTCTTTAGCTCCGCAGAATAACGGTCACGAAGCAGACCGAGGATGCGCGCGAGCTGCTAGCTTAACTTCTAGTTAGCTCTCCTTTTCTAAACGCTGCGGAGGTTAAAACCCCGCGTGGATTCTCGTTTTCTGTTAACTGCGATGTGTCCTCTTAATGGTCGGTTGGGTTTTTAAGACATTTAAAAGTAGCGAACAGACGGAGCAGAAGCGGTTCTGAAGGTCATGGATGTTTTTTTTGTTTCCACCGACGTGTTGGAAAGTTTACCAAGTAGCTCAGTCTCTTTGTTATTTTTCTGGTGTCAGGAATCAGGCCCCCTTTAATTTACCTTTAATCCTTCTTGTTCGGTTTTGTAAACTAGCAGCTTTGTTTTGCTATTATAAAATTACCCTTTTGACAGTTTTGTAAAAAGGAGCAGAGAAGAAAATGTTTTAGACGTCTTAGAAGTGAATTTGTCCAAACCAGCAGCACTAATGTCATTCCTCTCATGTCAGAAAGAGGAAGCAAAACATTTATTGCTCTGTTGCTTTAGATTGTGTATTTCTTTTAAATCAAGGCCCTTATGTCTTTTTTTTAAGTGAAATTAAGTTATTTGTTTTTAATTCTTCTGCTGCATAACAGGTATATCTCCAGAACAATAGTTTGAGTTTAACTCAGTTTGAATTTGGTCTAATAAAAGACCAATTAAAAAAAGTTTCGCACAAAAGGGCATTGTTAGTTTTTGGGTTGTTAATGGATCAAACGTCGCCCATTTAGACAAGATCTTAAAGCGATACACAGGGGGAAAAAAGAATAAAAACATGACAAAATGACAAAAAAAAAAAAACAATATAAAATTGCTCAAAAAAAGACAGGAGAATGCACATCGGTTAAATTTCTTTAAAGCACCAGCCTTGCGCTAATCCTCTCTTATAGGATTAAGTAAAGATGCAGGAGCTTGAGAGTTTGAACCAATTTATAAAGAAAGGGCATTAATGTTTCTAAAAAAGGGGATGGGTCACTTAACATTTTAGTCAAGGATCTCCATCTTTGATTAAAATAAGTACTGATTGGTTTTTGTTATTGTTTTAATCATAAATATAAAATTTAGTTATTCAGTTTTTCAATAACTGATCAGTTGTCTTAAAATATGTCTATCCTTGTTATTGTCTGAGGAAGGCAGTCTTGAACGCTTCCACATCCTCTTTGCATAATAGATCACTCAGGGTGGATGTCTGTGCCAGGTGTGAATGTGGTCAACAACCCTTTGAAGGACTTTGCATCTTTGCTGCGTTCTTTTGTAAACTAACTGATAACTGGAAACGCTTTCTGAAAGCTGTTGATGATATTAATCTAAAAGAAAGTCCCACTTCCTCCTGGGTAATTACCATCAGCTATTGTCTGGGTCTGCAGAGGCGAAATGGATGAAGAGGAGCAGTTTGTGAACATTGATCTGAACGATGACAATATCTGCAGCGTCTGCAAACTTGAGACTGAAACAGGGACCCTATCTTTCTGCCACATCTGCTTTGAACTCAGCATTGAGGGTAAGAAACAGTTGTTTTTTTTCCTTGTGAACAGCAAATAAATTCATCTTTTCCATTTACAATTAACATTAATTTTGGAGGATGGATTAGTCACTGATACAACAATAAATGGGTTCTCATCAAGTTATGATTACCGAGCGCCTTAAATTTGCTCATGCAGACCAAGCTTTGTCCTGAGAAATGTTCTAAAGAGAGTTTGATCTTTACATATAAATATCCTCTCATTGATTCTAGTTTTAGCTGCTGCAGGTCCTTCCATAAACAAGTCTGATTGACTCTATCAGCTTTGTTTACATATTAATAGGTTTTGATGAGAGAAGCAGTTCTCGTGTGGAGCTCCAGTGATCACTGTTTGATGTGCCTCTCCAGCTCAACACTGCGTTTCAAGTAGTTTTTGTTTTCCATCTTTTAATTAACGACTGGCTTATTTGGAGTGGAATGGAGCACCGGGGGTGGGGGGAGGGAATGGGTGCCGCTCTCGTCCCATGCTTACACAAATGGTTTTGTTTTCCTGCAGTGTATAACCTGGGAAAGTTGTCCAGGGTTAGATAAGGCCTACAGATTTATAAATGTATCCTGTCAAAGTGAAAGGAAACACTGTTTGGGTCCTGATGAATTGTTGTGTGGTTGAGTTTACTCTGTAAATATTTACTGGCTCCTCATTCAAGTGAGAAGACATGTAACCACACATTAGTGTCTTAATAAGAACTGTTACCTGCATGATAAAGTCAATAGAAATATTTACATTTGTCAAGCATCATGTAATGATGTTTTTAGATACCTGCCCCTGTAATGTTTATCAAATCAGTTCAGTTTATAGTTTGATCTGCAGAAAACATCAACTGGCTGCTTGGAAAGTTTAACATCCCAATTTTCCCCCTGCTAATTGAACCAGAGCCTGCCTCTATCTGGGCCTATCGATCCAGCTGATTTTAGCGCTTCGCTCATTAATCAATATCAGCCATAATGTGATATAGAAAATACACTTTTTGCTTCAACAGACTTAGACTTAGATTATTTATTATTTAATCATTTTATATACACAAGTGTAAAAAAAAAATTGTGTTCAGTACAGCTCTCTAGACTACATCATTTGTTAAGGTGTAGCCTTAATAAGTTAAGAAAAAACAAAAAATTCAAAAAAAAAAACTTTTGCCACGAGCAGGGCTGCTCCGTGCCGCCTATCCCCTCACAGAGAGCACTCAGGTCTCTGCACTGCTTAGATTTAAAATTGGAGTGAATGTAGAGGGAGAGAGTTAGCCGTTTTCTTCATGGTAAGCTGGGATTTTATAAAACTACACTTTAGTGCCCCATGTCAACAAACCTCTTCATGGAAAAACGCTGTTAGGCTGCATAAAGGAGAGCAGACAAGTTTTATATGCGCTAGTTTTGGCTGACTTATTAGCATTTTAGCTCTTTGCAAAATAAACATAATTTTAAAAGCAAAATAAGATTATTATATTGTGTCCCGCCACATGTCATGCTGACATGCAGGCTCTACTAGGGCTCATGAATTCAGAAGTTAATGTTTTCATTAAATTTCATTTTTAAAAGGCTCCAACTTCTGTATTTAGTTGTAATCCTGTTTGGATGGTTTAAAAGCTGCAGCACTGCTCCTTAAATCTAGTTTAAACTTGTATTTCTAAGGTTGTTTTTCTGAATGAGTTTTGAAACCCATACAAAATGTCTCCCATTAGCCAGTCTGTTATCAGGTTAAGCTCTATGCAGCCACTTGTTTTCATTTTAAATGCTCACCTGTAGAAGTGAAGTATAATTAGAAAAATACACAAAATGTGTATATTTATATATATATGAATATTAATTTTCCAGGCAGAGGGGAACAGTCAGGTGTGGAGCCACTTTATGAAGGATGTAACAGTTCAGGCTTTTAGCTAGCAATGCTTTTCCCCTGGAAACTTTGCTCAAATTTTCAAAATTTCACAAGCAGCAAATGCTGGAGTTGGAAAAATTTTACTTTTGCTGATCTGGGAGCTGGCAGGGAGACAGACACAGAACTTCTGATGCAGAGAACTATGATCACTCCCCTGAAACTATCTATTAACGCCTACATTTGCTTCAAATATCAAAACCTGCCAGCAAAATATGTTCACTTTTATTATTGTGGTGCCTGCAGTTTGTACCACATACCTGAAAAAAACGTTTAAGATCTACCTCTAACCGCCTCCAACAGAAAGTTAAACCCCAAAAAGGTGACCAGGCCTGAGGCAGCTGCTGCTGGGGATTCCCCGTGACAGCGCACCGCCGGTCTGTGGGGGTCTAAGCGGCTCAGACAGCAAAATAATATCATAAGGCAGAATCGAGATCTTGATGAACTGACTGCACAGACAATGTTTTAAGGTGGACTTTCTCACATAAAAATACACAGCAAATATAGCAAAGCCGCTCTCTGCGATTGAACACAGGAGCATCAGATGCAACTGGAAACACTTTACTGGACGCCTGAACATAATGTGGACAAAAATATAAAAAATTAAGCAGGAGGTGCTTTCTTGCTTCTCAAATTGCGGTCTGAACGTAGCGTTACACTTTCTGATTGTTTAAATTAACCTATGAAACATAATATTGTACCTAAAAATTATATAATCTCTTCCTTATGAAATTTCTACCTCAAGGCAGGCGCACTTACTTCCCATAATCAAGACAAAAATAGTGTTGAAATAAAGACAAAAACGTTAGCGGCATTCCACCTCAAAATGCAGGAAATAGCGTTTCAAAGAGTCTAAATTTGAAATGATGTGATACACCAAGGCGTACACCCTATGGAATATTTCTCTCTAAAAGCCTGTAATAGGTGTTGGATACGAAATCTGCAGTGTTACAGTTAGTCAGGGCTCCAGCACCAGTAAGGCAAAAAAATACCACAGATTTTAGCCAATATCTAAATCAGCACCACAAAACTTTATAGTCTTATGTCACTGCTCAAATTAAACTTGCGTATTTTAATTCTGTAGTTCTATGTTTTGTTTCTTGGTCTTGAATCATTTTTTTGATTATTATGAGAATTTGAGTTGGAATATAGTTGGACAGGGCATATCATTGGTGTATGTCAGTTTTTCTTTTTTATATTCTGGCTGATATATATAGGAAATCGTTCTTTTTTAAAGCCCCCAGTATTTTTATCCATCTTCAAAATCACATATTGGTCGGACTTAACATTGAACACAGCATGGAGAGCAGCAGGCAGAGTTTTCCGTTTACAGTCCAGCAGCTCAGCGTCACATTATTGAGAGCAGAGACGCTGCCATATTTCTTTCTGCTGGTTTTTGGATGACCGGGTGGAAACAAAGGCCAATCCGTTTGTCCGCTGGTTGCTCATGTGGGCCTAATGGCTTTTATTTGAGTGTGATCGGCTGTTAAGGTGGACCTGAAAGTTGGCTTGAAGAAAGCTCTTCATCTGCCAACTGTGCTTTTCATCTGGTTCTCCATTTTCTACATCAGTCAGTGTATTCCTCTAAAACTGTAATCACTCCCCTGTTGGAGGAAAGATGGTAAAGTTCACATTATCTTATGATTGGGAAATGATTGGTAAAGGATTGAAAAATGGATTCATCTGACCAAAGAACGCTGGACACAGAGAACTTGGCTATATTTCTGCATGTAATTAAAATCATCTGTTACATGGAACTAGTTTGATTCTCTGTGGTTGCATAGGTACTAGGGGTGGAACGGTTCACAAAATCCACGGTTCGGTTCGATTCTGTTCACGGTTTCTGGTCACGGTTTTCGGTTCGATTCAATACATGTTGATTGTGAAATTAATTATGAAATTAATGAAAAAATCCCCCAAAAAATAATTGGATTGTAATTATTTTAAATGATCCGCGGAAACCCTGGATCATTTCCGTATGTTTTGCTGCTTTGAATTTAATCATCTGGCGCATGCTCTCTAACCTGACAACAGCCAGATGCATGTCTCGCTCATGGCTGTTGTCAGGTTACATGCTCTCTACCATCTCCAAGGAACTCAGAGGGGAGCAGACGAAGCCACAGTGGGGGCTGTAGGCTTTGCTTTGAGCAGCCGGTCTGGAGCGCAGCGGGGCGGAGCGGGGGTTGCTGACGGAGTATGGATTTCGGGGTTAGCATGACATGTTGCTGTTAGCATAAACAAAAGGTGTTGCACAATGCTTGCACACTGTTGCACTTTTATCCACAACTTTCTTACCGCCGTCATCGTAGGTCACTCTAAATGCAAAGCGCTCCCATACAGCAGACCTATAAAGTGCTGCTGGCGCGTCTTCCAACTCCTGTTCTTTCCCACTCGCCATACCCACACAATTCTCCACAACAACTGATTTTTTTCCCTGCTACACCCGGCTATGCTGCTTCGCTTCTTCTTCTTCTTCTTGTGTACTACTGGTGGTTGGCTTTGGTCGCAGTACTGCCACCTTCTGCTCTGGAGTGTAATCGCTTCCTCTATGAGAAAAAGGAGCAGCGCATGAACCGAATGAAACACGCGAACCGAACCGAGACAGTCGAACCGAACGATTCTGACGGTTTTCATAAATCGTCCCATCCCTAATAGGTACAATAAATGGTTTATGTATATTGGTATATCTATATGGAGAACAAGGAAAAAGACAAACAACCATTATAAATGTAGCATTTCTCATCTCTCATTGGTTGTGTTGCAACACATGGTCCACAAATTGACCAATGAGTTGGAATGCACTGGAAATCCTACCACCAAAAATGTTCAGCTAAAAGTGAATGGAAAGGGCATTTTCTGCTGTTGGCCAATAGACATTTAACACCCAAACAACATGGCCGAAACTTGTGATGACACAACAAACAGCACATTCAGCACTGGGAGGGTCAAGAATAGAAAGCAAACAGCACAGCCAACATGCAGAAACGTCAAGCTAGTGTGAAGTAAAGGCCTAGAGCACAGGGGGTGGGGCAGAGTTTGTCAGAGTTTAGAGCGTAGGAGAAAGGCTTTGCGTGGGGGAAGCGAGTTAAAGGCAGCACATCGGTCTCACTAC